CCATCATGTTGCTTAAGCATGTTCTCAATCCTAAATTGATATCCCAAAAATTGAGTGTTTTCTGATTTTTTGAACAAATGTCTGCTGGAGCAGATTTTTCTAGAAAAATTCGAATAACTCGAGAACGACCGAATCAAATTGCAAAAAGTAAAGTTATTTATAAACCTTGAAAACAGACAAATCCAAATATGTAAAAATATACAGGGTGTTACATTTAAAAAAATAAAGTTGGTGGCGACTTCTGGTATAACCGGAAGTGCAAGAAATCTGAAAATATTTTAGACGAAGAGATCGTAATTGATAATACTTAAGTCTGAATTCTTAAATTTTTATTCTCGCAAGAACTCCAGAAACGTCTAATGACCGGTCTCGCTGAGACACCCTGTATATAATATGGATTGAGCTAAGTGAATATATCTACTAACAAAAATGTGGCTCAAGGTGAATAGACGCAGATAGAAAGCGATAATGTGAAAGTGTAACAAAGATAGACATAAAACGGTACTAAACAGACGGGCGCATGCGCACAAAAGTGTCAAACCTCTTCCATTTGACGTTTATCGTTTTGTTGTGTCACAGCCAGTCACACCGTTATGTTTAAAAATGTATTGTTTCGTGTGCAAAGTTCGCGATAATACAGTTTCACATCACCTGTAAGTATTATAAATATTACTTCTAATTGATAGTTTTTTATCTTATAAATTAACGCACGCCCATTATATGTCAGTACGCTTCTATGTCTATCTCGGTTCGATCACCTTGCGCAAGCTATCTCTCTCGTTGGCTCAATCCATATTATATATAATCAAAGGGTTTGTCTTATTTTATGACGAAAAATCGTTTAAAATTACTTTTCACAATCAATGCTATACAGGTGTTCACAAAGGTTATTTTTTTAAAACTTTTTTATAAAGGCTTATTTCATTTTAAAATTATGACATTAATGAAATTAATGATTCAGTTGCTTTACTGCTCCAGGTACAATTTGTTGTCATAGGCACCTACGATTAATGAAAACATTTTATAATCGAGGTTGTATCTTTTTGCGAATAACTCGAAAACGATGCGTCTAAACAAAAATTACTAAGAGTGAAAATAATTTTAAAATGAAATAGGCTTTCAGAATCAGTTGTAAAATTTAAGGGTTTATGACATAATAAAAAGTTTTAAGAAAATAACCTTTGTGAACACCCTGTATAGCATTGATCCCGTGGTTGCATATTTTCAAAACTGATTTTAAACGATTTTTCATGATAAAATTGCACTGTTTATCAAATGTTATCATTCTAAGACAAACCATATTGAAAATATTTAAGAAAATGTTTAAAAATTTCTTAACTTTCAAAGCCCATATTTTAGCCACTTATGAGTTTAGACCAAAAAATTTTACACGAACCGTCATCATTTTAACTCTATAATTTATTTATTTCTTAATAATATACATATATTATAATATATGTTATAATATATATTATATATATATAATTTATAAATATATTAAAAAGAGAAAATAAATAGAATTTATAATTAAAAATCATTATGAAACCACAAGAGTGAAAACGTCAAGATAATAAAACAATAATAATAACAACGATAATAACCACCTATTATTTTATCCTTCTCTTTCTCTCTCTCTTACTAAATTCCCTCTTCCGTTTCGACCCGAAATTGTTATTAAATCGAATCACGTGACCTCCAGCTTTCCCCCACCCTCTCAAATCAATATTTCAATAAATAAACGAGATTGCTACAATATAATTTTTTTTAATTAAAAAATTAAATAAATAATGTCAAAACTATTCCCCTTGAGGAAATTTAGAAAAAATTAATTAATTTTTTTTTAATTTAATTAAATCTTTTTAGATCCCCGACATGTTCTCCATCTCACTTAAAATTTTTTTGTTCGGTTTTCATCCTTTACTCTAACGCTTTCTTTCTCGCTTTTTAGAATCTTATTTCCACATCAAAATCCTTTTAAAACGATTTATATCTTTTTTTATGTAACCTCGGAATATAAAATAATTTAAAAAAAATAATTTACCGTTAATAAATTATATTGTTTTTCATGAATACATTAAAATTTAACGTTAACATAAATTGTGTATTAAAAATACATATATTTACCTGAATCCCAAAATCCATCCGTTGGTCTTTTAGATTAATTACCGCACAAAATAACTATATTATAAACATCATCTCTCCGCCAACTCTTGATGTTAAGAAAAGAGAGAGAGAGAGAACTACTCGCCAAAAACCGAATGCACACAGACACACACTCGTACACATACAACGTCAGTCAACTTTGTATTTACACTAATTAAGTGACGTCACGATGTAAACTGAGAGAACTCGGTGGTGCTGTCGTCTTCGTTTCGGCATACTTCGAGAAGACTCGCCAGGAGAAAAGTGGTGGAGGATAGTGTTGTTGTTGTGGTGGGGGAAAATACGTTAAACGCGGAATCGAAAGAAAAAATGTAAAGATACCAAATGAACAAGTAAAAAAGGCAATAACTAAAGGGGAAGGGGAAATAGTAATTTTTCTTTAAATAAGGAATTTTAATAAATATATAATAATAATTAATTAATTATGTATATTAAAATTATATATAGTAGATATATTAAATTGAAGAGGAATGAAATGAAGATGGTGAATTAACGGAGAAAAAAAAAGTGAGATGGATCGAGTTCGTCGGGTACATGTAAAGAACGAGGTATTTGGCCTGGGGCCAAAAGCCTCACTCTAAGAAAATCAAAATAAACCGGCCGTTACACTTTGTTGTAACGATTTTTAGATTGGATGCGATGGGACCGAGCGAAAAAAAATATGATTAAAAAGGATATAAATCATAAAAAATGAACGAAAAAAAAGTTGACAAAATGCGAGTTAAAAAATAAATAAAGTTTCGGGTTGATCCCAAATAAGCGTATTTAAAGAATAAATTAATGAATTATTTAAATTTTAAATTCGCGCTGTACGTAATTTTTTTGTTATGATTTAAACAAACACAAAGGATTTAGTTGTTTGTTTCGATTTCAAGGTGAAAATATATATATTTTTAATTTAATATGATCTGGTGTAGTGCCATCTGTTAGTAGAAGTATGTAATATTGATGTAAAGTAAAAGAAGATTACTAAAATTCTATTAAATACATTTTATATATATGATGATTTGCCCAACAGATGACGCCATTAAATAATAATGCAATATACAGACTTTAATAACGTTTAGAAAAATTTTTAGTTCACAAAGTTTTTACCACATCAACAAAACGAAGTCTTCAAAAACAGGTTCCACCATTCGAAAATCAACACTTTCTTTATCGCAAATTAATTACTCATAAATTTCTCGTACGATTTTTTCAAAATAAGGTGGAGGAAAATTGTTAACCTCGAATTGTATGAGCAAGAAGATTTTTAAAAACAGGTTTTTTCATAAAAAATCAATTTTAACGATTTTTTAGACAACTTCGAAATAAATTAAAATAAATACAGGGTGTCCCGTTAAGCGTACGGAGCGGCTGTATCTCTAGAACGGTAAGGCCAAGAGGTTTGGGAAAAAAATCCTTATAAGCAAGGTGACCAAGAGAAATAGCTAGAAATTATTTTAAAGTTCGTAATTCGACCGCTAGGGGGCGTAACTGCCATTGAGAAACATAAAATTCCCGCTATCTCAAAAAGTTAGACGATGAGCTATAACGTTGACAACATCATTTAGTAGCTTGGATAATACCGCATCGCTTTTGTTTTGCGATATTTCTCATATCTGTCATAATAAGGGAGGGGGAGGCCAATGCGTTTTCATATGTTTACATTTTAATATCTCCTAGACCATTCAACCGATTTGAATGTTTTCGGTGTTGTTTGAAAGAGCATTTTATGCTCTTTTTAAAGATATTTTCAGTAAGACCGTCTGCTTTAAAACAAATGAGCTAGAGGACGTTATCTGCAGCGATTACATATTTTTGTGATTTTTGAAGAAAAGTTAAATGGAACGATACTATTTACTTCACAGACCCTTAGTCACCTTAAAATTTGCTAAATTTTAGTGAAAACCGCATCTCGATATCGCCACCCGTTCTCGAGTTATAGAAGAAAATGTTAAAAACTCGAGTGCCATCAATCGGATCCAGTTACCTCATCGAGAAAAACAAATCACATAACCATGGTAACTGTAAACATGTCATTTACTAACGCAGAAGCGTATGATAGAGCGTATGATGATTTATTTTCAATGTTTCGAATACGATGCAACTGCATGGCAAAAATGTGCAATGCAATTACGACAAAGAAAGACATTTTTCTCTAGAAGTGTTTTTAAGATTGACTTAGCGATTACGGAAAACTGGCAACGTGTAGCCCATTCAGACATCTCTATGAATTCGTAAATCATATTGGTGCGCAATGTGATCCCACATAATCTGGGAACTCCGAAAACAATTGTCCACAAGAGTTCTCAAGAGAATAATATCTCCACCACGTTGTTTTACATCAGGCCTTAACAGATACCGATTATGATAACAGACTGAACTATTACCATTGACTTTTAAATATGATTTGGGCAAATCCAAACCTTTTATCACAAATGCTATGGATGCATGAAGCATCTGTCCACAAGCTGATGTAAACTTGCATAATATGCATTCTTGGTTCGAGCAAAACCCACATTGCTTTCACCCCTTTATCTATTGGGTAGACTAAACGACCTGACTTTTCAAGAAAAACCAATAACCAGGGAAAATATGACAAAACACTAAATACCAGTAGAAACGTGTCCAGGGCCGAGACTTAAGCAGCGCTTTTTTTTCGTCGAAACTAGATTAAATAAATGCATCGAGGTTTATGGAAGGCATTTCGCACATTAGTGAGTTATTTTTGCCAAAAATTTAAGTTATTCTAAGTGTTTTGGTTTATTTTGTTTTATTATCATTGTTGATGTTTCATTGATCCGTTGGCTTTTCAACACGCCTCAAAAGTAGTTTTGAAGCAGTTCTAAGCTTGGATAAAGTGTGAAGGAAGGTTCTAGATAATAAAATTTTTGTTCTCTCTTATTTGTTTCCTAAGGTAACTTGATCCGATTAAGATATACGAATTTTTAACATTTTCTTTTATAATTCGAGAATGGATGGAGATATCGAGATGCGGTTTTCACTAATATTTAGCAAATTTTATGGTGATTAACGGTCTGTGAAGTAAATAGTACCGTTCCATTTAACTTTTTTTCAAAAATCACAAAAATATGTAACCGCTGCAGATAACGCCCTCTAGCTTATTTGTTTTAAACCAAGCGGTCTTACTGAAAATATCTTTTAAAAGAGCATGAAATGCTCTTTCAAACAAGACCAAAAATATTCAAATCGGTTGAATGGTCCAGGAGATATTAAAATGTAAACATTTGAAAACGCATTGGCCTCCCCCTCCCTTATTATGACAGATATGAGAAATATCGCAAAACAAAAGCGATGCGGTATTATCCAAGCTACTAAATGATGTTGTCAACGTTATAGCTCATCGTCTAAATTTCTGAGATAGCAGGAATTTTATGTTTCTCTATGGCAGTTACGCCCCCTAGCGGTCGAATTACGAACTTCAAAATAATTTCCAGCTATTTCTCTTGCCCACTTTGCTTATAACGATTTTTTTCCCAAACCTCTAGGCCTTACCATTATTGAGATACAGCCGCTCCGTACGCTTAACGGGACACCCTGTATATAAAAATACACTTATATGTATATAGTTACAAAAATAAATCATATATTTATTTGTAAGCGATATAAACTATGAATCATAAATAAAGTAAATGATAACAAAGAAAGCTATTTTACCCATTAATAATTATATTATTAATTAATTATTATTAAACATAATATTAGAGTTAATCGTCAATCCTAACTGATATCGGCAAATGCTCATACGCCATCCAATCCAAATTATTCTTTCTCATAACATCATCAATCCAATTTCTAAAAAGCGCAACATTTACATAAGCAGCGGGAACTTCATTTCCACAATCAATCCCCCACGCAACCATCCCAATCTGATAATATATATCTAGCTGACCCGGAATCGGACAAACCAGCGGACTTCCCCCATCTCCTTCGCAAGTATCCTCCCCTTTCCGTCCACCAGCACACACCAAACTCTTATCCAACATAAAATAAGGCCCCAATCGTGTCGTTCTTAACCAATCCTGACAGCGATTTCTTTCCACAAACGGCAAATTTATTTTTTTTAGTATAGTTTGATATTGTTCGTGTTTTTCGAAATTTTTTTTACCCCAACCACTTGCTATACACCCGGAATTATCGTCCGGGACGAAATCTTGCGGGGGTAAACAGATGACATCGATGTGATCTTTATAAGGAATTTCTCGTTCTAAAATAAGAATTGCCACGTCGTTGTGCAGCCCGCCGTAATAGAAATGTTCGTGGATTATCTTCTCTTTAACCGCAACATTTTCGTGGGGATAAATTTCCAAGTTAGTTTTAGTGTCCCATTCTCCGGCTCTGATGATGTAGTGTAAATCATTTTCGATGCAATGAGCGGCTGTTAAAACGGCTTTTGGATGGATTAAAGCTCCACCGCATTTATAATTTTCGGTTTTGTTATCACCCGCTAAATCTTGAGTAAAAACAGCTATCATCCAAGGGAGTTCACCGTACTTTGCTTGATTTCTGTGTGGATCTACGTTTATTGCTATACCCTTTGGACGACGATACCCGCAACCTTTTCGTTTTGGAAGTGGTTTTGGTAGAATTACAGTTGATGATATATTTGTTTTTGGGCAACACTGCAGCAAATAATGTGGACATTCCGTTGTGTCATCTTCATCATCAATCCTTAAAAAAGTGTGATTAATTTATGAAGAAGGAATCGAAGAAAGCTTACCTTATCGTAAAAAGTCCTTCTCCATCCATATTTAAAGTTCCGTTTTCTTTACACAAATAATAAGGAATACATTCGCAAGCACTTGTTGGAGCAACTGTTTGTGTTGGTCGAGTTGTATAAATATAAGTCTTATTCTCAACCTTATACTCAGTATCATTGATAGGAATTGGAGTTGAACTTAAGTTCTGTAAATTTGGTATTGTTGGTGGACTTACCAAATTACCAAAAATCGATTGAATATTGTTCATTATTGTTTCATTGTTACATTGCGAAACCGTGGTTGAAACCGTTATACTTAATAGCACGAAAATGAAGTAGGTCATTTTACTCATTTTTTATTTGAAAATAATGATAATTCGTACGGAAGATTCGAATGCTAACTGAGCTCGATCCGTGGGATCAATATCTTAATATAAAGTTGGTTTGCGGTCGTTAAGAAGAACCCGTTGTTGTTGATGGCGTCGTTTTCTCTTCTTGTTTATTTCTAACTACTAGTTTGTTTCTCGATGATTTTATTTCCTTCGCGAACGAGAACTGTTTTGTAGAAAAACACGTTGTGAATTGAAGGTGGACCGGTTTTAAAAGGAACGAATCGAATTAAACGGAAGATTTATAAACATTGCTTTGGACAAAGAACGTGTATTATAAAATAATCTGATTTATTTAAATGTTTTTCGTTTATAAACTTGTTTTGTTCAAAAATTAACATTATAACATATTCTGCCAAAAGATTTTTTTGCTAAAAGTTTTTCTTATCCAACTCAACATGTCTTTGCATACATCATTTTAAAGGTGAACGTTTCACATCATCCAACAACAAGTCGTCATAGATTGCATTTTATTTACTCCCCTCTACATTTAATGCAAAAATAGATCTCTACTTACATACTTTGTTAGACGGTTCAAAGTCGTATATATTTTAATAGAAAGAGTGAAAACAATCTTTATTTAAGAACGATTTCATTTTTAAATAAACGTATTATTAGATTGTGTTTAATTCAAGATCTTTTGTGGTAAGTTATATACCTTTTCTTCGAACACATACCACAATTTGTTGACGATTAAATCATAAATTTTTACAGTTAATTTTCATCGTCTAAAGAAGTTTCAATAAATTATATATATAAAAGATTTTAATGTAAGTTATGTAAATTAAAACCAAAATTTATCTTAATATTTCATATCCCACATAGCTAAAAATAGATCCTGATGCTGTTTATTTCATTAATTCTTCTGACAGTACTTTTCGTTAGAATCATTGATCCTTTGGAAAGTGGTGGCGTCGATTATAATGAAATAAAATCTGATTTATCCTCAAAAAACGCTTCTGGAAATGTAACTGACACTAAGACCATAGAGGATATGATTAAATTAATTTTCTACGGGACTCCTGAACAAGATGACGGTATAGAGAAAGGTGTAGAAACAAAATTTGGAAATTTAACTGAAACTGTTGATTTAGACTATATCATAAAAGCTATATTTATTGATGAAGAAATTAACTCCGAAACTTCAGTTAACACTTCTTCAGTGCAGTAATAATAAAAAAGATTTCGTAAGTTGTCCAAAACGTAGTATTACAGAAGAAGTGAAACTTCAAGTGATTGTTAAACGTAGATTTTAAGTATAATGTAGTAAAAAAGCTTATAAATATAATAATTTTAATAAATTAAAATTGACTCCATATTTTCATTTTGTTATGTCGGGTAAAAATACAAAAATAGTATCATCCACTGCGAAGAAATGATAATGCTAGATTGGGAACATTAATGGGGAATTCCGGCTTCTAAGAAACGTGTATAGTTTAAATTGTCATTGGAACACAGTTTTTTCACAATTATATCTATTATGTTAATTACATTGTGTTAATTACAGTCTTAATATGTTCTAACTTCTAATACTTTTAGAACGTAGATATGAGTTAGAAAATGTTAGAGACATTTCTGACGTTGTATGTATGTAGTTTCACGTGGAGGTGAATTCCCTCACAGTACTTAGGCCCCAACACATCCCCACATTTTACAGTTCATTCAGGGGTCAGAAAACCAGCCCAAGGTTTTAATGAACGTTAATATAGAATAGAAGGGTATATTGTATGTTCTTTATATCCGAAATTTGGGACTTACCGTCTCGTCTCCCATTTCACACCCTCTATAGAGGGATGTATTTGCCAGCTTCATGTAGAACATGTGCTTACGTGACTTGCAGTGTCCGGAGATATGTACGTACTATAAGAATTCGTAGTTTCACACTTGGATAATGGAAAGAAACGGTATTCCGGGCATGATACAGAAAAACTTTTAGAACAAAAGTTGCAGCAAATTTTACCCTCTACACATTGCTCTCAAACAGTTTTGCCCTCAGATGCATCATCGTAGAGAAATATTCGAAAATTTGAAAATTGAAAGACGTAGAGACATAAACCCCTCCTGGGAGACTCGCCAGTTGTTAATCTGAGATGATCTGAGATGTGTTTAAAATTTTTGGGTTCATACGGCATTAAACATAGAGCCTCGGCCGCAAGCGACCTCGCTTAACCAGGTGAAATCACTATTTCTATTGATCACAACCAGACGAAGTCGTATACGTTCATCGATGCCAAGGTCAGGTTGACAGTTTGTGAGTGTGACAGTTACATAACTCACAATTTTTATAAAACCATTGATAAAATTAAGGTCCCTTGAGTAAACATGCTGTATATACCACAGTTTATACCAATATGTACTCAACTGATCTTGAAATAAAACTTTAAATTTTTATTGTAGGTAGGCAACTTATGTTACAAATACAACTCTTTCAATCCTTAGCCGCTAGAGGCCGCACGAATTGAATCAAATAAACACAATTCTTTGTACAATTATAATATTTATTTTCATATAAATAAAGTTACAATGCAAGTATTTACCTATTTATAATACTAATTTTAATTAATATCAATTGACATTTATAAATAACACCAAAATTTTCGTTTTAATTCATTTCAACACCAACTTAAACAAAAAAGGCACAAAATATCCCTAAAATTGAGAACATAATTTCTAAAACTCCCCGGTTAATTAATTTCCCGCTCTTTCTCTTGGTTATGTGTTTCATTTAACCGTTTTAAATAAGTTTATATAATTTGTACTCAACTTTTTAAGCTTTTATTTTAATAATATTATAAACAACATGCCAGGGGTAAGTATTCCCAAAATAATCTTAATAATATTTATTTAATTTTTGATGATAAATTAATAAACATTTTATTAGGGTGAAGATTCATCACCACCTCGTCGTCCAACACCGAGAACAACTTCTCCAGTTGCTGATTATGAACCTTTCGAAGATGAAGGGGCTTTGTTGGGAGATACATCGCAATTGGATCCTGCTGAAGAAGAGGATGGGGAGGAATTATTTGGTGATAATATGGAGAAGTATATTATTATTAAATTTTAATCCTTAAAATCTAATTGTTTCATACATCCTTAGTGATTATCGCCCGATGCCAGCGTTAGATCGTTACGATATTGATATTCTTGATGAAGACGAATACGATGAAATCTCCCAATCGGATCGTGTTGCAGCTGAACGTGAACTTCAAAAACGCGACCGTGAAGAAGGAATTTATCGTCGCGGGGATCGCGAAATATTTTATGACGAAGATGATGAGCAAGATCCTAAAGCTGCGAAACGCCGCCGTGGTGATAAAACCGCCACAACTACCACAGCTGAAGATGAAGAAATGATTGAGTCGATAGAAAATCTTGGAGATACGAAAGGTTATACAATTAAAGAATGGGTTTGTATGATGGGACCACGTACGGAAGTTAGTAATCGATTTAAGAATTTTATAAGAACTTATGTTGATGATAAGGGACATTATGTTTATAAAGAGAGTATAAGGAGAATGTGCGAGAACAATCAGTGCAGTTTTAGCGTTGATTTTCCTACGTTTGCACATAAAGAACATGTTTTGGCATATTTTTTACCTGAAGCCCCAATGCAAATGTTGGAAATTTTTGATGAAGTCGCTAAAGAAATTGTTTTATCAATGTATCCAAGTTACGAAAGGGTTACTTCTGAGATTCATGTAAGGATATCCGGGTTACCTTTAGTGGAAGAATTAAGAACTTTTAGGTAAAATTAATTGTTGAATTGATTGAAAATAAATTTGAAATTAAATTCATTTTAGAAAACTCCATGTAAATCAACTTGTACGGACTCTTGGGGTTGTTACAGCTACCACGGGGGTTTTACCCCAACTTTCAATCGTTAAATATGATTGTAATAGGTGTGGGTTTGTTTTGGGGCCGTTTGTTCAGTCGCAAAATGCTGAAGTCCAACCTGGTGGTTGTCCGGAATGCCAAAGTTCAGGACCATTTATGGTAAAATTTAAGAATAATCGTTGATAATTTATTTTATCGCCAACCGGCAGCAAAAACGTACTTTTTGTAATTCGCGACGGTAAGGAAAGCTCTAACAGTACTCAAACGGGTGCTGTAATGAGACTCCTTACAGCATCCGATGCTGTAATGAGATTTTAGTAACATTTTATGGAACCAGTTCAAGTTGGTGACATTGGGTCATTAATTTTTCTAGTTGTCAATGTGACAATTTTTGTCTATGGATGTTTAAACACGTTCTTAGCATCGAATACAAGGTCCACAATGATGAGGACATTGACTCTGAGCAATTTCTCTTATTTTGGGAGGTGTACATCAAACATTTTTTTCAGGTGAATATATTTTGTGTTTTGACAGTTTCTAATTGTCAATTCAAAGTTTCTATTTTCAAGTGTTCCGGTGTTACCAACTGCTACATACCTATTTCCCTACATTGCCAAAATTTACTTTATTTTTGTTAAAAAAAAGTATAAAAACGCGAATTACAAAAAATAGCATAAAAAACACGTTTCATAAGACTTAAAGCACTCATTCATTAAAAAACTCGTGGCTTCGCCACTCGTTTTTCAACTTGAATTCCTACATTTGAAACGTGTCTTACGAAACTTGTTTTTTAATATACTATTATGCTATCCATTTGCGGCAGTAAAGTGACACTTTGTGCTACTATCTAGTAAACTGTGCATTTAGTGGCAGACAAAGTACTTTTTCTTCAAACGTCATTAAATGACAACTTTGTTGTCGTGTTTACTCGCGGTAGAAGTAAGTCATTGTTGCATAACGACGGTTGCTAAGATCAACATAGCAAAAAAGTACTTCAGCGTTATGGCGCTAAAGTAAATTTCACTTTAGCGCCATAACGTTGAAGAACATTTCACTTTAGCGCCGTATTATTTGCAACGTTTGAAGAAAAAATACTATGTTTTATTCGGAAGAGAAGCAGATTCGTTTGTGGCTGGTCCGTCATTGCCGGACTCACTTCGTTCGTCCGGCAAACTGTCGGACACGCCACAATTTTAACGGCTCATCTGTCATTAGCGACTCACTGCGTTCGTCGCTAAGCGACAGACCACGCCATAAAAAGCACTGCTTCTCTTCCATATAAAACAATATACTATTACCTGCCGCTAATTGCTGTCAATTTGAAAAAAATGCCGTTGAACAGCTGGATTTGAACCCGGTACCTTCTGTATGAAAGCGCACTTCCTTCTCCACTATACTACAGACCTTTGATACATAGTTTAACTTTACCGAGGTATATTAACAAAACAAATCGTTTGACACATGTCATAATATTGGTAAATTAGAATATCTTCATATCGTTAAATTTTGCGGTTGGACCAACTCGCCTGTTTACTCGCCTCGCTCGCTTCGCTCGCTCGACTCGCAAACTCAGACTCGTTCGATAAAGCATCACTTTGCCGACTTGGTACATAAATAACTATTTTGCGTTACAGAACTTTTTATTTGATTATCGCAATACGCCACATGCAACAACTAAAGAGAAACCTTCTGTTCTTATGTTCAAAAGACATATTAATTTCAGATTTAATATAATGAATCCTAAAATCTATAAAAGGAGTAGGAAAAATTATTCAATAAATAATAATGTAATTAAAGGCCAAAGGCCTTAAAATATAATAACGGATCTAGGAAATGTAATTTTAGCATAGGACAATATGTATTTGTTAAGGATTATGGAATTCCAATGAAAACTAAGTGTGTTAAGGGTAAAATAATTAAAAGAATTGGAAAATGTGTTTATTTATGTAATGTGCCTGAGGTTGGTAAAGTATGGAAACGCCACGTAAATCAAATACAAGAATGTAGAAGTGTTGAGAGTTCACTGGCGCCTTTGCCTATCACAGACACAAAAGAAAACACTGAAATAATTGAAATTTTTGATTCTCCTGAACAAGTTGCAAGTGTTAATAATAGACCAAAAAGACATATAAAAGCACCTGAACGACTTGCATATGAATAGATTTTTTTTTTGACGGAGAGAGTATTTGTATATGTATATACTAGATTAGTTTAATTTTTTTTTAGGGGGAGAGATGTAGAATACGGTTTATTTTGGGTTATTTTTGTAAGACTGGTTTTTGTGTGTGAACACATGTTTGTCTTGTTACATTTCATTTTTACGTTTAGTCGGAATAAAGTATTAGTTGAGAAAGAATGTATTTTATTACAAATTTTACACACTCTACCACTTTTTTTGAAAGATCTTTTACTTATAATATTTATTCGCTTTATGGTTCTGTTTCGGAAAGTTTACGGGGTTTGAGTACAGCGGCGTTCAAGGTTTATAGAACATAAGGTTACCTCATTCCCTATGCCTCTGTAGTATCGATTATTACCCCGCAAATTGACGTCACTGGTTCGATACAGTCAGAATAAAAGCTAGCCTATACGTGCCTATACTGTGGTACAGTCTATATAAAATATTTAAACCTCGCATCGTGTTGTGTTGTTCATAGAACCAGCTACGTCACTGACCCACCTTGCCTCTCAGAGGAGGAGAATCGGCATTGGGTAACCTTATGTTCTATAGACCTTGAGCGGCGTTCAGGCGCGCCATGTTTCGGAATTTGTTGCACATGCGTACATTATTGAATGAACTGTTTTATATTTTGCTTTTATTTTGTTTTTGATTTTGATTTTTTTTCCTTTATATTTTTAGGCTTGTAATTAATATATTTAGCATACTTGTGGTCAACGGATATTTGTAAACCAGAGAGTGGTTTGAACTATCCCTTGTGGTTCACCTACATGATTATGTTAATATTTAGAATTTATTATTACTTTTTTTTATTATTATTATTTTATTATTGATTGTTTTCTTTCTTCTTATTATTGATGGGCGAATAAAAGTATTATTATTATTATTAAATTAAACTTAGTAGCACTGGAACACTTATTGATGTTTCCGTAAAATTTTTTAGTATAGCTCATATAAAACTTTCAATAATCATTATGTTTAGTTCACTGCGAATAAACCATGGCCCATATACTGTCGTCCATAGAATTTTGTTTTGCAGAGATTGTATTTTTCGGATATTTGTTGCGGAAGCATTACTCCATACCGGGCAAGCATAGGTGACGAAAGATCTTATTAAAGCTTTATATAGTATCATAGTGCACTTAGTTTTCAGATGACTTTTTCTGTTTATTAGAGCAAATAGTTGTTTCAATTGAGCCTATCCCAAATTTAATCTGTTGTTTAGTTGAATACCCCAATTTAATCGTTGATCAAGATGCAGGCCTAAATATGAGACAGCTTTGTCTTTAGGATTTCAATAAAGTTCTGTGTTATTGATTATAATGCGTGTTGGATTTCGGTAACGTCGTTACATAAAGATCTTAGATTCACATTTGTCTTCATTCAGGTGTAAGGACGATTGAGTAAGCCATTTCTGCACGTCGTTAATAGCATCTTGTAGCTGTTCTATAGCTTCCTCCAAATCACTACCTTGGGTCATAATCAACATATCGTCAACAAACAGAGCTTTTTCATTGCATCTGTGGCATGGTATCATCCAAAAATTTATTAACAAAGGATGGTGACAATATACCTCCTTCAGGAACTCCTGCACTAATACATCTTATATCTGAATAGGTCCCATTTATTCTCACACAAAAAGTTGCTGCTTGAAGATATAACATAAGCATAATCATCTAGATCTCAATGCAATAGTTGACTTTAGCTACATCTTAAAAGGCGATATTGTTGTATTGCTTATTTTCAAAACCTTTCCTAATAAATTCTGTAACACGCACCAATTGGTGAATCGCTGAATGACCCGTTCGAAAACCAAACTGTTTGTTTCGGATAACATTTCTTTCCAGCAGCTGATCTTGAAGTCTTCGCCTTATAACTTTTTCAAACAATTTTGAGAGAGTCGGTAAGAGGCTTATAGGACGGTAATTAGATATAAGACTGCTCTGCTAAAAGCCAGGAAGAGCTTTTGAGACATTAGTATCATAGCTTTTTGCCAAGTCACCGGAAAGTAACTAATTTTTAAGCATGAATTGAAGATATCAGTTAAGTAGTAATATTCAATAGGAGGCGTTTTAGAATTATATTTCTATTGAGCCTTTCTATTGGCTAGTTTCTGTTAAGTTGTTATTAAGTTCTGAATCTGATTCAGACTGGACTGCTAAAGGGGAAGAGGTGTTATTATTCTCGTTGACGAAATTAAAACTGAGTCCCCTAATAACTTTTACCTATCGAAAAGAAAAACTCATGGGCAATTTAAAATGGCTTCCGAATTTCCCGATGATGTCTTCACCAATTACTTCCGTTTGAACCGAAATCAGTTTGTCGAAGTACATGGAATGATTCAACGATTTACCTTTGTTGATTCAACAAAGCATAGTTTTCCGCGCAGCACGTGCCACGTGTTGGATTAGTTTCAAAAACAGATGTCATTCCTTGAACCGTTTATGACAGTGATGATGATTTCCATCCTTCGTCAAAACCATCAAAGAGTGAAAATTTGGAAAGTCGGGGCGAGGGATCTGCTCGTAGTCAAAACGCAGAGTTCACTCAACTGGATTGTAATGGAAAATTTTCAATCGATGGTGAAAGAACTGCCGTTGAGCAACCCCTAGGTTCTATTGGAGACAATGGTGATTGACAAAGGAAACGTGCAACTGTATCATAACCTCCGACTCCAAATTTGAAAAAAGAAATAACACAGACCCCGCGGAAAAAGAAAAAGTACGGTACTATCGACATCTGTGATATTATGAGTCGATCGATTCAACAGCGAGAAGAAAGGTGACGACAATGAGACCTCTTCCTATGGAGATAGGAAAAAACTATTGGACCCCCTAGATAACTTTTTCATTTCCATGTACTAAGTAACAAAACGAATGTTTCCCTTTTATCACCATAAGGTCAGATCGCAAATTTTCCAGGCAGTGTCTGGAGCAGAAGCAGAAATTATACACTCTTCCAGCCGGTGTTAACGCTGTGAAAGAAAATCCTCATGGTATTGTGGCTTGTTTATTGGTGGCAA